CTTTCGGGCGAACGCACGGGCCCTATAGCGAAAACCCTCCACCAAAAAAAAAAAAAAAGATATCTGGGGCGGGGGGTGCGGGGGGGCGTCTGTGAAAAGTTCATGGGAATGAGCCTTATGAAGAAAGCTGCATGGATGTGATATTTTGGCACCGAAGTAGACTCGTACTTTAATTCCATCTTCCACGAACTTTCTGAGTCCCCTGTTAAGTTCAGAATATAAGAGTCAAGTGGCGGGGCCAAGGAGTGGCGTCATGATTAAGGCACTGGGTTCCCACAGGGCCGACTGCAGTTCGAGTCCTGGACCCGGAGGCATGAAACTCAAGCGCGTGTGTGTGCATGTCCAAAATCCCAAGAGGAGAATGAAGGAGAAGGGATTGTGGTGTGGCCATCCCCCCTGGGGGGTGATTTCTCACTTTCTATCGCTCTGTGCATCTTTGAGGAACACTCACGCCCTGTACCGAAAATCTAAAAAAAAAAAAAAAAAAAAAAGGTCAGGTGGTTTGGCCAAGTAAGAGGCCTTCTGCCTTCCACATGGAAAAAGAAATCGAATTTGGAGCAGTCCCTAAGGCAGTAGCATGCCATTATTATTATTATTATTATTATTATATTTGCTATAGGGCATGTGCGCTCACCAGAGAGAGAAAGTGAGCCGCCGGGTTCAGGACTCACACACGCAATCGGCCATGTGGGAGTGCAACACTTTATCCCTTCTCCATTCTCCTCTCAGGATCTTGGGCACGCACACACACGTACCTAACGTGTTTTTCAAACTGCTGGGTCCAGGACTCATACTGTGCAATCTAGCATGTGTGATCCAGCCACCTTAGCCACAATGCCACCAATCAGCCTAGCATGCCTTCTTGCAGGGTGCCTTGGGCCGTTCTGCAAAGCCCAGACCCACGCTGGTGAGCCAGCCCATACTTTTGGCCTTCCCTCCCTTTCCCTCTCTCTCACTGTCTGTCTCTCTCTCTCACTGTCTCTCTCTCTTTCTCCAGTAAGCACACACACCCTATAGCAAAAACTGAAAATAAATAAATAAATAAAATAAATATGAAATTTCCTAAGTCGGTTTACAGGAAACCTACTGATTTATGTCCCTCTTCTGAGATTTTACGAAAAGTCTGTCTCAGAGCTAGCAGATGGCGTAGTGGTTGAGGCGCTGGGCTCCCACGTGGCTGACCATGGTTCGAGTCCCAGATCTGGCAGCTTGCTTTCTCACTTCTGCACCCTTCTCTCTGTGTCCAGTCAAATTAAAATAATAAATAAATAAAATGCAATAAATATTTCTTTTTTTTTTTTTTTTTTTTTTAAAGTCTGCCTTTTGGAAGAAGCAGATGACATAATGATTACAGCTCCCATGTAGTCGACCGCGGTTTGAGTCCCAGACCCGGTGGTTTAAACTCACGCTGGGCACCTGTGCATGCGTGCCCAAGATTCTGAGAGGAGAATGGAGGAGAAGGGATTGCGGTGTGGCCATCCCCCTAGGGGGGGATGATTTCTTTCTGTCTGTCTTTCTGTCTTTCTCTGTCTCTCTGGTGAGTGCATGCGCCCTATGGCAAAAATCTCTTTTTTTAAAAAAAATAAAGTCTGTCTTTTAAAGGTGTCCTGTCCCCCCTGCTGGGGAGGAGGACCAGACAGGAAACAGTAGTGAGGGGTGTGCTCCTGCCTGGCCGCAGGAGCACCCCAGACGTCTATAGGCAGTGCAGCCAGTGTCTGACATGGAATCCCTACTGAGTGAGGCCGAGTGAGGCCGGGCGTGGAGAAACAGCTGGAGGCACCCGTCCGTGCAGGAGGCGGTGGGCACCGCTGCGTTCTATGCCCACAGAGCAGCACCAGCTACAGAGGCCTGGGCTTACAGAGGCCTGGGCTTGCAGAGGCTTTTAACCCTGACCTTAATCCGAGCTTAGACCTTCTCCTATCCGTTGGTCCAGGATTGCCTGCTCGCTCATAACGTGGGGAGTCGGCTTCTGTGCACGCCGCAGGAACCAGCGCACTTTCAGAGCATCTTGCCCCGCCCACTTAAACCATTAGGAATCCCCAACCCCTGAGACTGGCAGTTGGCGTAATGGTTACGTCGCTGGACTCCCACATAGTTGACCGCAGTTTGAGTCCTGGACCAGGCAGCTTAAAACTCATGCCGGGCACGTGTGCGTGTGTACCCAAGATCCTGAGTGGAGAATGGAGGAGAAGGGATTGCGGCATGGCCATACCGCTGGGGGGTGATTTCTCACTGTCTGTCTGTCTGTCTCTCTCTGTCTTTCTGGTGAGTGCACGCACCCTATAGCAAAAAACCCCTCTTTAAGAAAAAAGTCATGCTGGTAGGACCAGCAGGTGGCGTAATGGCTATGTCGCTGGATTCCCACGTAATCGACCGCGGTTCGTGTCCTGGACCCTGTGGCTTAAACTCACGCTGGGCGCGTGTGCGTGCGTGCCCAAGATCCTAAGAGGAGAATGGAGGAGAAGGGATTGCGGCGTGGCCATCCTCCCTCCAATCTCCTTTGTGGAGTGATTTCTCCCTATGTCTCTCTCTGTCTGTCTGGCGAGCGCACACGCCCTACAGTGAAAATCTCTCAAAAAAAAAAAAAAAAAAAAAAAAAAAAAAAAAGCCAATGCTTGATCTTTTTTGAAATTCCTTCTGTAGGGAAGGAAGCCATCTTTCTATCTTCAAGGGCAACTTCACAAGTTCCACTTTGACATCTTGGGAGCTTTTTATTTTTAGTTATTTATATGACACATGCACTCGTCAGAGAGCGAGGGGTCAGGGGAATGAGAAATCCCCTATGGGACGAAAGCCATGTTGCAATCCCTTCTCTTCCATTCTCTTGGGATTTGGGGCATGCACGCCCATGGGCTCTGTGTGTGTTTCTCAAGCCGCCGGGTCCAGGACTCGAACCGTTTGGTTGTCCCTGTGAGATCCAGCCATCTTAATTTCCATCTCTCTCTGGCCCCATCTCAGCAGTTTTCATGACCTTTGTTTGTGAATCACCATGAGGCCACCTCCTTCCGCCCTGTCATGGACCGATTCTCCCCCCACCCCACTGTAAGGCACCAGAGCCTGAAGGCGTTGGCTCACCCAGAGTCTCCCTCACCTGCCGCCCCGCCTCCCCCACCCCACCTGTGCTTCCTTGCCCCCCCCTTTGTAGGAGGAAGGGGTGCAGGGCAGCCCCTCCCGATGGGCTCCTAACTGCTGGGGAGTGGGGAGCAGCCAGGCCCCAAGGCATCCAGTCAGCTGCCAGGAGAGTGGACGCTCTTTCCAGCCGTCTGTCCTGCCCAATGTTGGGTCAGTGCTTGAGAACAGAGAGGCCTGCGTAGACAGCCCCAAGTCCTGGGCAGAGGGACAGCAGTGTCCACTCACCCACCTGGGTTTCTGGGCCATGCGAGTCAGACCTCAAAGGAGCCTTGCTTACAGACTTTCATAAAATGCTTTAGTTCTTTCTTTCTTTTCTTTTTTGGAGAGGTTTTTGCTATAGGGCGCGTGCGCTCGCCAGACAGACAGAGAGAGACAGAGAGACAGAAAGCGAGAAATCACCCCCCAGGGGGGATGGCCACGCCACAATCCCTTCTCCTCCACCCTCCTCTCAGGATTTTAGGCATGCGTGCACACACACCTGGCATGGAGTCTCAAGTCACCAGGTCCAGGACTTGAACTGTGGTCAGCTGTGTGGGACACCAGCACCTTAACCACTATGCCACCTGCTGACCCTGTACTTTCTATTTTTCATGAGCTTTTCGAAGTGCCTTTGAAAATTTAAGTGCTGGTATATGAATTTTGTGGAGATTTCCAGTAATGAGGCCAGGGAGCAACCAATGCTTCTTAAAAGTCTCAGATCTGAGGCCGGCAGTAGGCGTGGTGGTAAGGCGGCTAGCTCCCACATGGCTGATTGCACGGTTCAAGTCTTGGGCCTCGTAGTTTGAAAATCAGGTGAGACATTTGTGCATGTATGTCCAGAATCCTGAGAGGAGAATGGAGGAGAAGGGATTGCAGCGTGGCCATCTCCCTGGGGGGTGATTTCTCGCTTTCCCTTTCTTACATTCTCCCTGGTGAATGCATGCACCCAACGCCAAAAGCCTTAAAAAAAAAAAAAATTACCTACCTGCTCATTTTGGGAGAACCACGAACAGAAATAACTTCATTCCTATGGCCTTTTGAACTTTTCAGAGACACAGGAAAGGTGTTAAACTGTAAACTGTTCTTTTAAACATGAGACTCCATGATGCGTCAAATTTGAGGTCAGGATTTGACTACCGGAGGGTAAGAATGACACCCTGAAGTTCCTGTTAACAGCTCATTTTGGACTTAGAGCGACCATGTGGGTTCTCTGTGGCAAGCAGGTGATCAGCTGGCCCCACAGGAGGTTAGAGGAGGAGGGTTCGGGGCCTGGCACTGCTGGCTTGCAGGACGTGGGGGAGGGAGGGCCAGAATAGAGCCCCTTGAGCCATCTGCCCC